AGCGGCGCGGCGGCAGGCAGCGGCTCCTGGAAATATATGCCGGCGAGGGCCGGGGAGGCCAGCGGACGATCACGCTTCCGCCATCGAGGATTGGTCGCCCGCGTGCTCGAAATTCTTGCTGGTGATCAAGGCGACGTAAAGAGGGTTGGGACATCATAGCCCCAGCGGCCCACCGCCGGGCCCGGCGGGCCCCAGAGGTGCACGAGGGGTGCGCGCTGCTCCTCCCCACGTTCGGCCGCGAGCGAGGGGGCGAAGCGAGAAGGAGGAGGCCTCGCAGAGGGCGGCGGGGCTTCTCGCGAGCCCCCCGCGCCTTCCGAGAGGTTGTCCTGTGTCCTCGGGGGACGGCGCGGGACACTTCCCAGCAGGCCGGGGGACTTCCGAGCCTTCCGAGGAGGCCCGCCCCTTCTCACTTCCCCCCCTGGGCTCGCCGCCGACACGCTGCTGCCCCGCGGCAGCGAGCACCCTCCTGGTGAGATCTCGCGGTGGGGTTACTCCGGCCTGCCGCGCGATCGACCGCTCCCCCCCCCCCTGCTCCAATTACCTTGCTGACGTCGCCCTGGGCCCCCCCTCAAAATGCATCCAACTACACAGGACCCCCAGAGGCCCAGGAGGCGTCGACGACACATGTGGGCAAGCGATAAGAGAAGTACCCTTCCCACTGCCCCAGAGGACCCGTTTCGTATTGTCTCGGGTGTACGGAACAAGCTGGGGGCCGAAACTGTTGTTTGAGTCGTCCCATCCCCCCCCACCCGCCGCCAGATTTCTGTTGGGCGTCGCGTTGAAGGAGGAGGACGAGGATGAGGAGGAGATGGATGGGGAGGAGGAGGAGGAGGAGGAGGAGGAGGAGGAGGAGGAGGAAGAGAGGAGGAGGAGGAGAAGGGGGAGGGGATGGATGGGGAGGAGGAGCAGCAGGAGCAAAAGAAGGGGAAGGAGGACGAGCGACCGAGCGAGCACGCGCCTTGGGCCTGGAGGCCGTCCCGTGCAGGGAGGTGCGCGAGGAGCCTCCTCCTCCTCCTCCTCCTCCTCCTCCTCCTCCTCCTCCTCCTCAGCATCATCATCACAACATCATCGTCATTATCAGCAGCATCATCATCATCAACATCTTAATCATCATCATCATTCATCATCATCATCATCATCATCATCATCAGCAGCAGCCGAGCAGCATCATATCATCATTATCCCCCTCCGCCTCCTACCCTCCTCCTCCTCCTCCTCCTCCTCCTCCTCCTCCTCCTCACCTCCTCCTCCTCCTCCTCCTCCTCCTCCCTCCCCCTCCTCTTCCCCCTACATGGAAAGACCCAGCGGCAGACCAACAGACCAATCGAATCGAACCGACCGAATGCAGCCGACTGAAGCAGCCGGTCTGGTCGAATCGTGGTTGCCCTCGCTCCCTCGCTCATTCCCTCTTTCTCTTTGTCCTCCTCCTCCTCCTCCTCCTCCTCCTCCTCCTCCTCCTCCTCCTCCTCCTCCTCCTCCCTCCTCCCTCGGGAGGCGGCACTGTCGGGCTGTCGGCCGGGCGAAATCCGAGCGCCTCGGGGGCGCCTTGCAGCGAGCGCCCCCTGGGAGGGCCCGAGGCCGCCGGGGGGGTGCGCTTGACCAGTCCGAATCGCCAACCCCGCCGCTCCGAAGTGTCAGCCCTCGGGCCCGCCCGTGGCTTCCCAGACGGCCTGGGGGCCAACCCGGCTTGTTCGCCCTCCGTGCGCCGAGCTCGTTGGCTCGCTATTCACGGGCGCCACGGGGCCGGCGAACCTACTGTTTGAAATGTCCCCTTTCAGATGTGTTCGTCGCCGTTTACCTCCATCAACTACCCATCAACGCCCAACGGCCCCAAGGCCGTTCATGAACGCACGAGAGAAGCGAACGCTGCATGAATTCACTGTTTTCGTACATGGATACCATGATCCTCTCTTCTCATATTCGCATATGGTTTTCCTCGTCCTCTTCCTTCCTCCTCGTCCTTTTCCTCCTCTCCCCCTTCCTGCTCCTGGTCCTTCTTCCCCTCCGTGGCTGGAGTTCCGGATGGCCCGAAGGGTCCGCGCATGTGTTCCCAGAGGCTTCAAGAGAGCCTCAAGGCAGCCCCGAGAAAAGGCCCAGGATCGCAAGAGATTCCCCTGATCCTCTTGCTGTCTCTTGCCGCTCCCGTCTGCAAGAGCCCGAACACGCGTGCCAATTGTTCTCGTTTGATTCGGTTGGTTCCGCTGTTGTAACCCCCCAAAACAACCAGCAGCAACACCACCAACTTTTAAAACAACAAACATTTTGAGCAAAAAACCCAGAGCAACTTTTAAACACCAGCCCTTAAACCTAAACCTAGTCAACCCGAACAACACATTTTAAACACCCTTCCTTCAACAGCTTGTTATGCCCCCATCGTCTGATTCACGCGCCTCTTTCCCTCCCAGAGCGTCCTCGGCTGGTCTGGCTTGCAGCTTGTACCATCCTGGGCACACGCATGCTACGTGTCGGGTGTTGTCTGGAAGCTCCTAGGATTTTATGTGAGGCCTCCAGAGTCTCAGCTCTGGAGGCTTCCGATGACCTTCCTGAGGCCTCCGTGGACCGTAAGACCTCCAGATAGCCCCGAACTTCTGGTGATGGGAGGTGAGGGACGGAGGCAGGAGGATGAGGAGGAGGAGGAGGACCAGTGTAAACCCAAGGGTCATCAACGATGTTGGAATCAACCCTCCTTCCAAGCTCCCTAGCCATAGGCCCCTATAACGGTTCATGTCCACTGAGGGAACTGCTTCGTTGAAAGACAACCGTTTGAAGACCCTGAAGCATGCCAAAAGGCCACGGATCAACCTGAGTGTTGCGTCTTGACGACCCTGAATCTTGTCAGAACTCCATTCCTGAGGTATCAGCACCGCAGATCAACCCAACTACTGCGCCCTCATAATCGCGAACCCTTCCTAAACACAATCTCTGGCACGCTGATCATGGGAACCCGCGAAACTCTTGCAAGTTGTTTCCGAAGAATGCGCGCGGCGCTAAGGCGAGAGCCGTA